TCAGCTGGGTGGCATGCAGCACCCAACCAGTTACCGAAGCCAGAAACTAGAAGTCAACATCTTTTCCTTCATTACATCCCAATCCAATTAATCATCTAAAGCTCATGCCTCCCTGACATATCTCTGCAGCTCACCCATCTAGGTTCTTCCCACTGCTGCCTCAGTCCAAACCCTCACCTCTAGTATCCTTGGGAGCTTCTCCAGGGCTTATGCTCAGCCAACTCCTGAGAAATCACAATAATTCCTTCCAATGCAAGGATGAATGATCACACTGCTCCCTGGCTACAGGGACTCCTTGGACTCCTACCACTGACTGGGTTTTGAGAAACACGCAAATGAACTAGCTGAACTGAACTTGGCAGAACGTGAGAGAGGTCACACAATCATCAGGAAATCCACCCAGGACAGATTTATATTCATCATTTATTTACTATACTGACTGGGGGAACTAAATCTTGAGATTTTCTTTCTATATTTTTAAATGCTATTTTCAAAATTGGACACTTCTGAGAAAATAGAAGAAGAAAATAAAGATGACAAGAATACAATAAGATACTGCCTCACAGACACTTTGATGCGTACTATAAAAACAGAAAATCACAACTTTTGGTGAGGATGTGGAGAAACGAACCCTTGTGCCCTGTTGGTGTGAATGCAAAATGGTGCAACTGTTGTGGAAAACAATATAGCACTTCCTTGAAAAATTAAAAATAGAGCTAACATATGATCCAGCAATTCCACTTCTGGGTATATACCCACAAGAATTGAAATCAAGGACTCAGATAGATGGACACCCTTGTTCGTAGCAGTATTACTCACAACAGCCAAAAGGTGAAAACAATCAGAGTCCATCAACAGATGAACAGATAAATAAAATGTGGTCTATCCACGCAATGGAATCTAATTTGGCCATAAAAAGAAAGGAAATTCTGACACATGCTACATGGTGGATAAACCTTAACTAAAGACATTATGCTAAGTGAAATAAGCCAGTGAGAAGAGGACACAGGCCATATGTTTCTACTCATATGAGGTACCCAAAGTAGTCAAATGCATGGAGACGAAAGTTGAGTGCTGATTGTCAGGAGTTGGGGGACGGAGGGAATGGAAGTCATATTTAACGAGTACAGAGTTTTCGTTTTATAAGATGAAAAGTGTCCTGGGATTGGTTGCCCAGCAATGCCAATGCACTTCACACTACTGAACTATGTGCTTAGAAGTCATTACAATGGGGAAGAACGCTAACTGATACCCACCCCTCAAGAGCCTAAAATTCATGAGCAATTACTCTCTATAGCAGGTGGCAAGTTGAAGGGGCCTGGGAGCCAGAGACAAAGAAAGTATGAAGAAGCATTACAGAAATTTTATTTGAATTTGTATCAACGAGTAATGCAAGGGGTAGCAGAGACAAAATGTACACTTGAAGCCAGGTGAAGAGGCTACATAATGGTAGTGTCGGATGCATCCAGAACCACCTATAATTCAGTCTAAAACAGATTGCTTCTCTGAATGCTCTGATTGCCTTGGCCTAATTCTTCATTTCATCACCAGGCTCTATTCCCACCTACGGCTTAAAGAGCCTGAACACGATTTTGAGATTATTCAAGTAACTGCAGCATGCCCTGGGACTTGATCTACACCACAGAAACATTCCTCTGCATAATATGTCTCTTTCCAATATTTGGAACATCCACGCCCAGAGAAATTTTAAAAGCCTTTCCCAAAGGGATGCCTGTGTCTTACTAAAATTTTACTCTTAATCTGTTTACAAAATTTTTATTAAGCATGTTACATGAATGACACCTTATACAGAAAATAACTACAAAAGGCCCCTGACCTTAAAAAGCTTCCATTCTAATAGGAATGATACATAAGTAGAATTCTTACCCAACTGCTGGCCCAGGCCTGTCCACCCTGTCTCCCCCATCTCAGGAAAGAGTGTATCACCTGTAGCAGCTGTTTGAATCTGAATCGTGGAGTCACTCTTAATTCCTCGATTCCACTTTGCGCCATCTCTATGGCTAAAATGCAGATCCAAGACACCATTACCTTTCGCTTGGACTAAGAAAATAGCTTTCTGAATGGCCTTCTGCTTCTATGCCACATTCTCCAAGTGGTGTACATCCTAATATTTGTATTAAGTACATCTTCAGGTTACTCTCTTGCTTAAATAATTCTAGTGGTTTGTCAGTGCTCTGAAAAAGCAGTCAAACCCCTTTCAATCACCTGACGGCCCTACATCAGCTGTCCCATGACCTCCTCACCCTCACTTGCACCACCATTCTCGTTCACTACATGGCATCTGCCCTGGCCCTCTCTTCACTGCTCACTTCGATGCCATCACACATGCTTTCCCCTTCTGTCTAAATGCTTCCCATTCTCCCCCTTTCTGTTTTATAAGCGTCACTTTCTCTCTATGCAAGTCTTAGACCAAACACCCCTTCTTCATTCCTGATCACTCCATCAAGCACTGTCCCAAGACATTTGATTTCATTTCATTTTCACTTTCTGGATTTATTTTTAAATTAGCTGCTGACTGCGTCTCTCCTTCAACAAGCACGCAACCTGACCTCAGGATTACTAACAATGGTGCCCCTGTCCTGGAATCTGGCCAGGTTCACAGGAGGCATTGAGAGAGGCTTTGTTGACCGATGAATGTACATTACAAAGAAGGCTAAAATAAGGAGGAAAGAAATGGAGCAATGTATAGTGAAGAAGGGACACTGATGTTTGGTTTTGGGGAAGAAAATCAGGAATAGCTTCCACAGCAGAGATTGGCTGTATTATGCCAAGTAAGTAGCCAGGCAAAAATGCATCCCTTCGTCTGGAACTAGCAAAGGAAAAGCCCCAGGGGCACAGGCTAATCCACATGTGACTGAGCAATAAAAACAACAGCGGACTCCTGGAGCCCAGACACCTGGAGGGAGGTGGGAGAGGAGCACAGGCAGCGGACAGCCCGAGTGAGGTGGTGCAGGCTGGGACTTTACCTTTTAGACCATAGAAAGTCACTGAAAAGTTTCCAAGAAGAAAACTTGTATAGTTTGACCTGCACTTTGTAAACACTGAAACTATTTGAACTTAAAAACTAACAACAAAAAAATGGCATTCCTTTAAACAGGACGACACTTTCTCCTACGGTTTTGGGGAGAAAAAAGACTCCCATCCCATGTGTACATGTGAGGCAAAGGGGGGCCCATGGCTAGTGACACTGCAGTCAAAGCAGAGGCTACGTGAAGATCACTGTTTGGTTTCCAAAGCCATTGACAGCCATATTACAATATCAAATGGTTTTGAATTGACAGGTGCCACCACTGTGGAGGATGATAGAGGTAGTACCTAGATTCCAGGATTAACTAACTGGGTGCTGGGCCAGGAGACACTTCCAAGGCAGCACTTTTCATATCACAGGACAATTTAGCTAGCCAATATTTAACAGATGGGATCGCACTATGTAAGCTGAAATAAACACTAAAGATCTGTATATTACATTAAACTTAAACATGAGCAATTCCATCTCAGTCACAATAAAAGGCAACCGCTAAAATTACTGTAAGGAATTAAAGGCCTACAACAAAACGTGCCTTTTGAAGCACTTATCATTCAGTTGCTCTGAGAGTGTTCTCCCATTTCAGAGGTCTGACTGATACATTTCAGTACAAAATTATTTATTGAGCGCAACTTCTCTCAGTGACGATGTAACAAAATGGAAAGGCTGAATGGGAAAGATGAAGGCTGATACAAGGGAGTCAACTGCTAGTGCTTCCAGAAATCCTGGATGGAGGGAGGGGCCCAGGAGTCCACAGCTACAGTGTTACACTACCTGGCTTTTTTTCTTAAGTTCAGGCAGGTGCTGGATTGGGACTTCAGCTTGTGGCCTAGAAAATGGGGAATCCAGAAATGTGACGAAGGACCCCTCCTATGATGCTAAAGGAATTCCTTCTAGGTATCTGCTTTCCACAAATCAGAATACTGGGTTGGGCTGAAGGAGTGAATGCCTTTTAGCACACGGCTCGATGTTTGTGAGAAGTGCCAGGGTTGGCGGAGAAGGAGCAATGGGAAATGGAACAAGCCCCGTAGCTGCAGTAAGGCAAGCAGTAACAGAGTCAAAGCATGAGTGATGGAATCAGACAGACCTGGATGCATGCCTCAGCTCTAATTATGAAACTGACGGAGAGCAAATGTATTAACATTTCCCCATATGTAAAATAGAAATAGGCTTGTGAGATTTGAAAGATCACGGATTCAAGGTGCTTGGCATAGTGCCTAGCATATAGTAACTACTAAATAAATGACAGTTCTAGAAAATGTTGTTCCTGTTATTTTTTCTCACTTTTATAACCATTTGATTTACCTCCATTACTTTACATGCGATTATCCTGGTAAGAAAGACAAAAACAAAAACTGAAAGAGCCCTCAAAGTTCCCTGTTTTTAGTCATCTTCATTATCATTGTCATTTTATTGATGAAGCCATTAAGGACATGAGTTAAGGTAACTGTCCAAGGTCACCTCGTCGCTAAGTCCACTTAAAACACTCTCATTTGTGCTCTCAGCAGTCTCCTAGTGTTTGAAGTAGTGAAGACAATTTCCTGCACTACTGGATGGCCTAAGAACCAGGCTGCCGCTGTTATTACAAATAATTCATACAATGAGATAGAAGTGCGTAAGCCAAAGGGATCACGCGCTGAGTAATCAACATGCCAACTCTAAAATATTAGACAGTTATGAAAATGATACTGCAGCTTGTAATAACCCTTGCTAATGCTTATTATGCTAAGTGAAAAATCAGAAAACGCAATCCCGTTTATGTTGTGATTATAACTAAGTAAAATTATGCACATATATAGCAAGGGCTGGAAAGGAACTCGGAAAATGATGGTGGCTGGCTTGATAGGAAGGCGCCATTGCAGAAGTTTTATTTTTATCTTGTGACTATAATGCAGTTGGCACAATAAATGCAAAAGTGATCATCACAGGGAAGGAGATGCTGCTGTTCACTCACCCGGGGTTATACAACATGACTGCAGACAGGTTCTCACGGGACTTCGAGAGGTCGGTCATGGACAAGCTGAAGGAGGACAGAAGGCCACTCTAAGAGCAGACACAGGGCAGAGTGGTTACCTTAGCAGAGAAGAAAAGGCCACTGGTCTGGACTCATTGCTTCCAACGTGTGAGAGACAATGAGGTGCACACGCTCCTAATTAACACGCACCACAACTAACTGGTTTATCTGAGGAAAGCAGATCGGGGCAGTAAAGCCCTGATATATTTCAAACCCACACCTTCCGCTAAGCACAGCAGAGACTTGGCCTTCCAGGACTGGGGAAATTCACCAGGAATTCCACAATCCAGTTGGTCTCCCCTACCAGTTAAAGTTGAGGAAAGGGGTCACAATATCTTTGTCATCCTCCATTACCTGGCAGGCAGCAGTCTCCTGTAATCAACGACACTCTCTCACACTTACGGAGCGATAAAGATGAAGGCAGGAGAGGTGAAGGGAGACCAAAAGTAAGAGCCCGATCTATTTTGCTTCCATGGGAAGCTATTGGCAAACATGTTTGTTCCCTCTGTTCCTCTGAAACTATACCAAAAAGGACCCTCTAGGGAGACCCTGGGCTGGAGCAGATAAGAGGCTCCACTGGCTAGAACGAGCCACCCAGGAGAAGGCCGAGGTCTGCAGCTTTCTCATTATTTTCCATGTAGGGCACTGGCAACCTCGGGCACTTCTTTTAAAGGAGACAGAAACGAGAGGCTGGGTAACCAGCGGTCAAGGGCAAATGCTTCTGGTATTCAAGTCAGTGCTGCAGCCAAGGCTCCCCATTCGCTGGCTACAGAATAAGTTAGGGAAAGTCACTCTTGGTCTGTTTCTCAGCTTGACCTGGGGGTGACAGCCTGGGGATATTAACAGCTGCTGCACAGATAAAGTGGTAGAATATATGTACAAGTTCAGCACCCTTGCTGGCTCATAGAAATGTTAGCTGTAGCCTTTATTATATTCTTCAGCCTAAGGACCAGTCATGATATCCCTGAACAGATTTCTTTCCTTCTTTCACTGCTCCTCAGCTCCCTTACCCATCAGCACTTAAACTGCCCATTAGATGTCCCCTTCCAATTAAACCAAAGTCTTTCCCAGTTGGCCTAAGCCCACTCCTGCTCTCGCTTCCCACCTCAGTGAGAAATCTGTTTACTGTGGCTGATTTTGGATGAATGTGACTCCAATATTGGGTTAATTCCTAACAGATGCTGATTAGAGGAAATCACTCTCCACCTAACACAAAATGATGTCCAATTCCTTGGTGGGAAGGGTGGAAGGCTGAAGAGAAGGATCTAGAAGGGGCAGTTGCTCTTTGTTTGCTCTGGAATTCACTTGCTTGCTCTCTTACTTCATCAGCCACTCATCTGCTGGGAAACAATCTCCCTAGAATCAGTCCCGGTTGCAGAACTACTATTCCCGTGGTTCTACACCCCAGAAAGTCGAAAGGTTAGAACCAGAGTGACCAACACCTACTCATCCCCACATCCGATCAGTGGTTCCCTCCTAGAGAAACCATGTCCCTCACCTTCCTCTTCTCCCTGAGCTTGGCAGCTTCCTTTGGATGGTTAAAGCGAAACATATTGGTTCTTCCTAAGAGAATCACAGCACCTGAGAACACACAAAAACAATAATGAATTTACAGTAAACAGTGTGGTCAGCTGCCATTATCATAACATGGAATTCTACTGTTGAAATGTAATTTCCAGTGTATTACAAAATAATAAGGGAAAGCTTTAGTCTCAAAAGTCTGCTTACTTAAGCCAATGTCAAATCTGCAAATGCCTTTATTTTTACAGCCAAGAGTTACAACACACATAATATCCTAATATCCATAATATCCAGAAGTGATGAGTATAAGCATTACAACGTACTATGAGATTCAAAACTTAACAGACAGATAATTAGGCTTTTGACTGTCTGGAAGAAAAAAGAAACCAGTTCTCCAAAGAGAGGTAATATCAAGCAAAGCATATGGTCACAACTTGAGAAATGTTTACTGATGCTGATAAAAGTAGAAATCCCAAAAGAAAAGTGCTTTCAGAAGAAAACATGATGGAATGGGCAGAGTACAGATAACTGTTACTAACATCTCCCCCAGAATTTGACAGGAAAGGACTTGTGTACATGCATGGTCTATTTCCAAATAATAACACTGCTTCTTGTCAAAACCCTATTAAAATTCCACATTCAACACACAAGAAAGGGTCCTTTTGATTGACGAGTCTTCGTTACTTAGAAAACAACTGCACAAAGGGCAAAAGAATTCAAGGAAAACAAAAGCATGGGAAGAGGCAAATTTCAGCTTGATGAAGCAAACAAACCCATTCTAGAGTCACAGCTATTTAAGGCGGGCACAGGTACCTGCAGGGCTGTGAGCTCCTTGTCACCAGAGGCATGTAAGAGAAACGATGTTGCAGAAGAGATTCATTGTCTCTTCTCAAGTCCCATCCATGTGCGAGAGTCCACGTGTATGAGAGTCTACAACGCCTCAGAGCATCAGTAAAGACAAGACACATGCACTGGCAGCCCTGAAGAATGACATGTGAGTGCTTAAGTGTACAGCATACTTAGCTAAGTGTGTGATTAAGTGACGAGTGCAGACTGGAGTAGCTAGGGACAGGCTTCTGCACCGAGGACCTAAGCTGGGTCTCACTCGATAACCAGAGGGCAAGAGGAAGTGTTCCATGTGGGGTAATTGCAGGGAGAGGCTAAGCTATAGACAGGAGAATGGCCTGCTATGTTCAAGAGTCATGTCCATCCACAAAGTTCAGGATGTTTGAAACAGCATCAAGAAGCAATACTGGATAGATGAAACAGACTAAGAAGACTGGAGAACCAGGATGAGAGTTTAGATGAGAGGTCACGAACTGGTGGCCAGAGGAAAAAATTCAGCCCATAGATGTGTTTTTTGTGTTCCCTGTCGTTTCAAAATCACAATCTTTAGTTGGCAAGAGTTAAAAAGCTGGAGAGTTCACGAAAGTCTGTGTACCTTTCTAGCATTTCTTCAAAATTCCTAAGATATGCTATCAGCAGATCTTTGTTTGCACTTTGCAAAAATCCCTGGGCTGCAGAGGGTTGCCTCCTTTGCAGAGGTGACCTCTGGCTGACCACAGTCACTAGCCTCTTGCTTGGATAATATCTTTACCTGGCCCCTGCAAGAAATACAACACCAGATATCTATTCTGGAGCGCAGGCCAGCATATCCACCTGCCTATTCGATGTATTGTTTGGACAGCTCAAGGGAGTTTCAAATTCAATATGGTTAAAGCCTAATGGGTTTAAATCACAACCGCAGGGAGTAACTGATAAGGGTTGGTTTTAGTGGTTGTCGTTATTTAGCAGAAACAAAGTCACCATATAAAGGAGGAAAAGACAGCTTTAGGAGCCCTAGAAGGGCAGCAGCCGATCTTATCCACTCTACAATCTGCTTATCCCTGTCACGTAAAATTGCATTTGTATTTTTTCCAATTATGGCAAGGCACCATTACCATGATTAAAAAGGGTGTTTCCCATGCTTTTTATGACTAGGACTCAGAGCAGTGTGCCCCACAGAAAGCCAAAAGCTAAGCAGCTATGCCTAGGATATATGTATATTTAATGCTGTTAAACTTACATTAGAGATTAATAAAGCAATCATACTCCAGCTGTTAATTATACTTCCAATTCTTCTTTTTTTTTCTGTTAATCAAATGCCCAGCCATGCAAGTTGAAAATTGCTAAGATATGTTAATGGAAAAATAGAATCATATTTTCAAAGCCATATTTCAAATTGTATTAAATCATTGAAAATAATCTTGCCACCCATATTATTTGCATGAAATACACGTAAAAAGCCCTTTAAGGAGTTATAAAAGAAAGCAAAACTATTCATGACAATTTATTGTTTCCATCTAGATAACGTGAGTCAACAGCCTGGCATATAAAAAGGGGTCCATTGAGGCTGGTTTCCCTACCTTTCTTCTACTGAGCATCTGTATTCAACAAACCTGGTGAATTTAAAACTTTGCTTCATTTTTATAAGCTGCCACTATTCATTCATTCATTCAGCAAATATTTAATGAACACTTACTGTATGCTAGGAGCTGTGATAAACACAGGGGATATAGAGTTGAGCAAGTCAGACATACGCTTTGCCTTTACAGAGCTTTAAAAAATGTCAAAGAGACAGATAAATAATCAAATAATGAAATAATTCCGCAAATAAATGCAAAACAGCAACTGAAGGAGAAGAACTGTGTCCGGGGCTCAAGGAGCAACAATGATGCGGGTTTATTACAGGGGAAGTTAGAGAAAGATGTCTTCGAGGGAGGTGGCGTCTAAAGCTCTGAGAACAAGTTGGGGAGAGTGTCATGTGTAAAAGCAATAATGATCATGACGATGACTGATGAAAATAATGAGGAAGAAGAGAACACCAAGAATGAGTGACTGAAGACAGCCATGGCCATGTGGCTATGGCAAAGGAAACGAGGGTGAGCACTGCACCAAGGTAAGACTTGAGAAGGAGGGACAAAGAAAACCAACTCAAACGTTTCAGGACATAAAAGATCGTGTCTTTTGTCTACTTGCAAGAGGAAGACACTGAAGGGCTCTGTGTAGCAGCATAGCATGATTAGATTTCAGTTTCAGAAAGATCATGCTTGCAACGGTGACTGAAGAAAGGCCACACAGGGCAAGAGTGGGTGTGGCCAGGCAAGCTAGGTGGCTACTACCGTGGTCCAAATAAGTGATGGTGGCTCAGGATTGGGGGAAAGGGGTAGCAAAGCAGTCAAGTAAAACGAAACTGAAAGATATGAAGGAGATAAAATCACCAAGATTTGATGATGGGCTAGATACAAAGAGGAGAAGGGGCAAAGGAAGGTGGCTTCTGGGTTCTGGACCGCATTGCTGGTTGAATGGGGAGTCTTCTACACAGACTGAGAACACTGGAAAAGGACCAAGATGGAGTGAGGAAAATCATGAGTTTGGTTTTGGACATAATGAATTAGAGATGCATTTGGCAAATGAAAATATGGGTTTGAAGCTCTGGTATAAAAGTCTGGGGTGTCAATGTATGTACCTTCCTACCACCTACCTACTTATGTATATATAAATCCACAATGCTTGGGATAAAAAGGGTTTCAGATTTCTGATCATTTTTTGGATCTCAGAATACTAGAATATATATAATGAGATATCTTTGGAATGGGACCCAAGTCTAAACATGAAATTTATTTATGCTTCATCTACACTTATAGACAGTCCTGAAAGTAAGTTTAGACAATAGTTTAAATAATTTTGTGAATGAAGCAAAGTTAGCATACAGGGAATCATCAGAAAGCAAAGGTGCCACTATCTCAGCCACCCATGCAGTTGCTTAGCGTCACCATCATTCCTGATTCTAAATTTATATGCTGCTGATAAGCAATCACCTGGTGATCCAGGTCTTTTTGTTAGCATAATAATGAACAAGTAGGAAATTCACTCCTTCAAAACGGGGAGGATGCAAGCTTTTGCTTGTCACGGGAATTTTACAGTTACGTATGTCTGCTGCATTAGCACATCTCAGCACAGTTATTCTGATATTGGCACCCTTGATTCCTGTAGGGGCTGCCTCATCATCTGTAGTCAGTGTCTTTCTAGGGCAATAATGCCAAAACACTGATGTTACATCAGCATTACAGAATTGATCTGTGTCAGATTTTCATCAGCGACGACCTTGACAAACTCTCAATAAATTTCTCTGCTGCTTCATAGTCAGCAGATACTTTATCACCACAATTTTTAAAAATTGCTGTGTCTGTTCCTAAATGTCTGCAACCAGCCTGAATATTCACAGTTGCCTTCAATTTTTGGTTCACTGTGATAGACTTTTGCTTGTTTTCATGATCAGCTTCCCATGAAGTGGCAAGTATTCACTGTGACACTGACAGGATCCACTCTTTCAATACACAATTGAGATCTTCACTTTCAGTGTTATGCCATGTCTTTCTATTTTTTATTTATCTGTGTTCATTACTTTCAGCATATAACGTAGCCTTCTGTTTCTTCAGGTCATATATGATGGCCACATCAACACTACACTCTTCTGTAAGACATTTCACACTTAACACCACCAGCCAGTTTCTCTAACAGCTTGACTTTCTGTGCTATAGATCAACATAAATGCTTCCTGCGTTTCTTAGCACTGTTGCCCAAAGGGATAGCTGCAGACCTTTCTGACATGTTCAAACATTATCTTTACACCACAAAGAAGACAGTAAGTAAAACAAACAAGCAAACAAAAAAACCAAAAACACAGTGAGTAACGCATGCAGGTCTTGGTCCTGTGCAGGGTATCATGGGGAACCTGCTACTGTCATGTATGGCCTGAACACCTGCTGTTTTATTATCCTCTGTCCACATACTTATATGGGGGAATCTGAACATGTTCTCACTTATGAGAGTTCAACAATGAGAACACATGGACACGGGGAGGGAAACAACACATACTGGGGCCTGTTGGTGGAGGGTGGGGCAGGGAGAGCATCAGGAAAAATAGCTAATTCACGCCATTAATACCTAGGTAATGGGTTGATAGGTGCAGCAAACCACCATGGCACACATTTACACATTAACAAACCCACACATGT